ATTAGTGTTTCCACTATATACTTCTAGTGTATCCACTATATACTCCCAGTGTATCCAGTATATACTACCAGTGCAGCCACTATCTACTACTAGTGCTTCCACTATATACTCCTAGTGTATCCACTATATACTCCCAGTGTATCTACTATATACCCCCAGTGTATTCACTATATACTCCCAGTGTATCTACTATATACCCCTAGTGTAGTCACTATATACCACCAGTGTATCTACTTTATACCCCAGTGTATCCAATATATATTCCCAGTGTATCCACTATATACGCCCAGTGTATCCACTATATACTCCCAGTGTATCTACTTTATACCCCAGTGTATTCACTATATCTCCCAGTGTATCCACTATATACTCCCAGTGTATCTAATTTATACCCCAGTGTATTCACTATATACTCCCAGTGTATTTACTATATACCCCCAGTGTATTCACTATATACCCCCAGTGTATTCACTATATACCCCCAGTGTATTCACTATATACCCCCAGTGTATTCACTATATACCACCAGTGTATCCAATATATATTCCCAGTGTATCCACTATATACGCCCAGTTTATCCACTATATCCTCCCAGTGTATCCGCTATATACTCCCAGTGTATCCAGTATATACTTCCAGTGCAGCCACTATCTACTACTAGTGCTTCCACTATATACTCCTAGTGTATCCACTATATACTCCCAGTGTATCTAATTTATACCCCAGTGTATTCACTATATACTCCCAGTGTATCCACTATATACCCTCAGTGCATCCACTATATACTCCCATTGTAACCACTATATACTCCGATATATACTCCCATTGTAACCACTATATACTCCCAGTGTATCCACTATATACTCCCATTGTATATATACCACCAGTGTATCTACTTTATACCCCAGTGTATCCAATATATATTCCCAGTGTATCCACTATATACGCCCAGTTTATCCACTATATCCTCCCAGTGTATCCGCTATATACTCCCAGTGTATCCAGTATATACTACCAGTGCAGCCACTATCTACTACTAGTGCTTCCACTATATACTCCTAGTGTATCCACTATATACTCCCAGTGTATCCAGTATATACTCCCAGTGCAGCCACTATCTACTACTAGTGCTTCCACTATATACTCCTAGTGTATCCACTATATACTCCCAGTGTATCCAGTATATACTACCAGTGCAGCCACTATCTACTACTAGTGCTTCCACTATATACTCCTAGTGTATCCACTATATACTCCCAGTGTATCTACTAGATACCCCCAGTGTATTCACTATATACTCCCAGTGTATCCACTGTATACTCCCAGTGTATCCAATATATACTCCCAGTGTATCCACTATATACTCCCATTGTATCCACTATATTCTCCCAGTGTATCCACTATATACTCCCAGTGTATCTACTAGATACCCCCAGTGTATTCACTATATACTCCCAGTGTATTTACTATATACCCCCAGTGTATTCACTATATACCCCCAGTGTATTCACTATATACCCCCAGTGTATTCACTATATACCACCAGTGTATCTACTATATACCCCCAGTGGATTCACTATATACCACCAGTGTATCCAATATATATTCCCAGTGTATCCACTATATACGCCCAGTTTATCCACTATATCCTCCCAGTGTATCCGCTATATACTCCCAGTGTATCCAGTATATACTCCCAGTGCAGCCACTATCTACTACTAGTGCTTCCACTATATACTCCTAGTGTATCCACTATATACTCCCAGTGTATCTACTATATACCCCCAGTGTATTCACTATATACCCCCAGTGTATTCACTATATACTCCCAGTGTTTCCACTATATACCTACAGTATATCCACTATATACTACTAGTGTTTCCACTATATACTTCTAGTGTTTCCACTATATACTTCTAGTGTATCCACTATATATTCCCAGTGTATCCAGTATATACTCCCAGTGCAGCCACTATCTACTACTAGTGCTTCCACTATATACTCCTAGTGTATCCACTATATTATCCCAGTGTATACTT